GGATAGCCATTTTGAGACCATGTCACGTCACTTGTCTTATATATTTCGGCATACGAAGTTAATGCATCGTGACGGATCATTGTCCTTGCATGAGCTTATTAGCCATCCGGGCACAGCCAGAAAAATTCGCACCTTGTACCGTGAAGGACAGAAATTTTTGCAATATTTTGACCCTAATGAGCTTTCAATGCAGGTCAGACGTCGAGAAAACACTGTTACTTTCCTTATGCCCTTGGCCCACGTAATCTGCGACTCTAACAAAGCCAGGGCCATGATCGGCTATGTAACCACCGAAGATTTCCAACCAGGCATTGTTCCGATACCGGACACGTGGTTTAAGCCGGCAGACTTCGATGATGAGGTCAACAGGGAAAGCCAAGCCGACCTGCTCGATGGTCTCGACATTGCGAGCATTTTTATTCGTTTTGAGAGTGGCCATTCCACTGAGGTCGAAATTCAGCATTGCCCATTTAAGCCCGACGTTTTTCCGTTAAGGTACCTCATCCATGGAGCGAACGAGAAAAATCTTGAATCCATCCGAAGACTAGGTTTGCTCCCAGGAGGCACCCGTGGTGGAAGAAACCATGTGCATTTCACTCTTGATTCAGCACTCAGTACGATCAGAGACGTATTACGTCCCGAATCAGACTGCATTTTAATTGCCAGACCTGGTGCCGTTGCCGGCCTTGGTCCAGTGATCACTCACAACCGATATGTCCTCACCGATCAGACCGTGCCGTTCTCCCGCTTTTGCGGTGTTTGGTCCTTCGTTGATCGCTCCTGGCTTGTTGCACCGGAACCGGCCGAGCTAAGGAGAATGAATGATTATACATCCAATATTGACCTTGCCATGCATGTCTGCCACCACCAACTTTACTGGGAGAAGAAGAATGAAAATGAACAAGATGGTTTCACCTGGTCACGTTCCGAATATGTGGAGTATGTGGCAGAAGAAATCGAGAAACTCCCTGTTGTAAAGAAGTTTTTGGAAAGTTTTCGTAGTACCGATTCCGGTCCGGCCAGGCCACTGCGAACCGATGCAACTCCGAACGACCAAGAGCTTGGCCCACCTGAGACCGAGGCAGACAAGAGAGTAAAAACACTCAAGGCAGAAATTTCCGAGCGATTTAAGAAACATCTCGCCAAAGAGCGAAACAAGGAGCAGTCTTCCGCCTCGGAGAGTGAAGCTCCCAAAGGACCTGTTAAGGCCAAGCCTATGCCAAGGAAACCGAAGGATGCCGCCGCTGCGGCTAGCTCCGATCCAGCATCCGGCAACGTAGACCCCGACACTGAAGTTGATCTGCATGCCGCATCTCCCTGGGGCGGCCGCCGACAGGTTGTCAAGACAAAAAGACGCCGCGAGATGAACGCCCAGGCAAAGGATTTGTTCCGCGATGCGGACGCAGCCCAAAAGTTTTTCACAAAGTTTAAAAAGGATACAGAAGAAATTCAATGGTTTCCTCGCCCTGCGGGTCCTCAATGCTGTAAGAATTTTGAAGACTGTGGAAATTCAGAGGCAATGTTCTGGTGCCACCCTTGTGGCTTTGCCTACTGCTTGGAATGCCGCACCTGCGGCTTATCTTGCAAACATAATATTGTTAATTTTTCTTCTGAGTTGTCCTCCGATTTTATTCCAGACAGCATCGGCTCATCCAATTCGCCTTTCGACATCGAAGACCTGGTTGACGCTGTTCTTGCTGAATCTTCGTATTTCGGAGCCACACGCCGAGAGCATGCTCAAAATCGCCAAGAAAAATTCTCGGAACTGATCACGCATCTGCGTGAGGGCCGCTCAATTGGAAACACTTACCTTCAATCTTTTGCTCGTCATGGAATTGAAGATTTTGATTATACAGAATTCATTTATGAAATGCCATTTGGATGTCGAATTCCGACTCTCCAGGAGCACTTTGTTGATGCCCAGGACCAGACGCCTCTTCCGATCTGGCGACCTGAGGCTTTCTTCAAGTACCCTGATGGCGGTGACCTTACGTCAGAGGAGATTCTCCGTTTATTGGAGCTCTTCAGATCGTGCCTTCTCGGTAAGAGAGCAATCCTTGGTGTTACCAAGCGCACTAAGGACAACATCCATGAGTTTCAGAAGGACACGTATCAGCTTGGTATTTTGACGTTGAACCTTGGTCACATCAACCGTATTCCGTATATCGGAGGTTGCGCCAAATTTCCAAAATGGGTACGAACTGATATCAACCACCGTGCATTGCCACATTTAGTGTTCCGTAATGCGGCCCATATTGTGTGCTTGTGCGAGGCTTCCGACGAGTACGGAGGAATTGCCGTCCATCGAGAGCTTGCCGAAGAGTATGGGATGATTGGCATGGTAGTGCACCCGCACATCCAGTCACAATCCCTTGCAATTTTTCTCCGTGGCTCACATGATGCAGGCTCATTTATTGAACTTTTGTGTCAACACCAAATTGAAACCTCCACCAAAGAAGCACCTTTTTGGATTTTGCATGGCGCCATTTTTCGCCTTTGCCATGGCATGAACACGTCAGGAGAATTTGTTGATCCTTCTTCTGGCGCTCGTGTTCCGAAACCGGACATCGAGAAAAATGCCGAATCTACGGTTTGGCAGCATGATCGCCCACTTGCATCCTCACTCGATTTTCTTGATCACAAGATCTGCGAGATCGACGGAGACGATGACCTTGCCGTCTCCGGCGTGGAAGCTTGTGAAGTGAATCTTGGAGCTGATACTCATGACGTCCGACGTCTCATGTTAGCTGAATGCCGTATAGCGGTTTTTCATATCTCCTCATATGCATGGAGTAGTGCCTATAAAGAAACGTGCCAGAAATGGCTCCAATTTGTCGCAAGCTGTATCGAACATCAGTGTGACTTTTTGTCCGGTGATGGAAATCTTTTCGCACAGCGAAGCTTTAAGGCGGATGATCATTCCGATTACCGGACATGCATCCTGATCGACATCTTGGAGCGTTTCCTTCAGCAGATTAATCTTCACCGCAGTCCGATAAACCGTATTACGTATAACGTAGTTTCTTCGACCACTGCAGCCAATTACATCCGAAGCATGCGTGGAGATGATGCTGACTGTGATTCAATGCTTTTAATTTCTCTTTGTTACGGTAAGCAGATCGCTGTCACGGAAGCACGTGCAAAAGAAGAATCAGCCTCTGCAGATGGATTTGCAGGATCTGCCTTTTCCGACGAAGTTATGCTGAACGATGTTGAACAGCTAAAACATTTGATGGCATATGATCTTGGTTTGGCAGAAAAGGACTGTGCATGGCACTCACCTCTCCTTGCCTACGCCCAATTGAAGGCACTGAAAAATATGCGCATCCGATCCAAGGAATCTGAAGATAAAAGACGTGAAAAATGGATGCAGCGAACTCAAGGATATCTCGAAAAACAAGAAGAAAGGAGAGACAGTGTTCCGCCGCTGCGGACTGACTCACATCGAAATGTTGGAGGCACTCGAAGTCGATCGGTCAGCAGGACCAGAACACATCGACCCAGAGCTGAAACACCAGCACCGCCTCCGGCACCTGTGCGAGGTCCAGCAGCGAAGGCCAGACCAGTGCAACCAGTGCAATATAAAGCTGCACCGAGATCCTTAAAAGAATCACCAGCTCCGACGTCATCAGGATCTTCCTCTAGTGCTAGGCCGCCTGTAAAGGCTCCTCCAGTTCCGGTTCCCGGACGATCACTAGGTTCACAGCAGCCAAGAACGCCACCTGATCCACCAGGACCACCGAAGACTCCACCGCCGTGGAGAGAGAGAGAGAGAGAGAGATCACAGCAGGCCGAGCAGAGGCAAACAACCAGAAAAAGGCCAATCAACGTACCTGAGCCTCCTGCGCCTCCATCCCGAATGTCGGGTTCGCAATGGCTTGACCAAGGAACAGCTTCCAGCTCTTCCGGACACCGTAATTACGGTTACAGCTATGATCAGCCGTCGTACTATAGAGTGAATCCCAATACCACTCAAGTAGAATACGTCCCAGGGTACCAAGTACCCAGACAGCGTTGGGTCCAGAAATACGACCGATCGTGGCTTGACATGATCCCGCAAACACCGGATCAGTCTATTTTCTTTCATCAGACCGGGGAACACCGTAGGCAAAACGAGTTGAGTTTCTACGGTTACTATTTCACTATGGGCTTGTAGCCCCAGAAAAATTGCAATGTTCCGCATTTGCGGTCGCTTTCCATCAGCAGATAACACCGCTTTCCAACAGCAGAGAGTAGCTTTTTGTACAGTTTTGTTTTTGTCTTCGGACCGTCTCACAGCAGATCACAGGCTGAGCGCTACCTGTGAAACAGACTTGCATGTTCCGACACGAAGAAAATTTGTGTCTGTTTGTGATTTATTTTGTTTTACGTGTCTACACAATGCTTTCATGCATGTTGACATGTACACCTAATTCATATCTTTCATGCGCACTCCGCATGGCTCAAGACTAGCAGCAATTCCGCCGCATAGAAAAGTGTCCGCCGCTCACTGCTTGACACAGGTGTTGTAAATAGTAATCCAGGGCTCCCCTAATAGAGGGATAGCTACCTCACCCCCCTACCCACCCACAGGTGGAAGCGGGGAACATAGCTCCTGTATACCCATACCCATTGGGTGGGGAGGGGGGGACCTGGGAGGGCTGCATCATATATACATGTATACACCATGATGGTATATGTCTTCTTTATCTATAGTTGCTATCATGTGAAAACGGAGAACTCAATCTGTAGCTCCCCCTGTTGCTCCAACTTGAGAGCCATCTGGTGGTCTCATCCAATTTTTTTCCATGGTTTGTTTCCAAGTGTGAATGGCGGTTTTCCAACATTTTTCCTAAGAAAAGCAAGCAAAACCATCATTTTTCCTAGGAAAAGCCGGCGAAACCATCATTTAGGAAAAAGCCGGCGAAAGCATCATTTTTCCTAGGAAAAGCCGGCGAAACCATCATTTTTCCTAGGAAAAGCCACCATGTACATCTTTTCTTCGGGTCCACGGAACACGC